CAACCAGCCGGTGGGAGAAGAATTTGGCCCGCAGTTCGAGTTTGGCATATTTTGTCTTCAATTTGTATTGGTGCCCTCGAAGATTTGTCGTCCGCGCTAGTTCGAAGAAATCGTTAAAATGAAGAACACAGCCTAGCCCACGGATGATCCTGAAGGCTATGATCATATCCCCTCTGTATTGTCTATAAGAGAGAGGAAATATTTTTAGCTTTTTCAGCCGTCTCCCATAAGGTGAGCTACTTAATCCGCCGACTTGCTTGGTAGCTCTTTGTTGTACGTTCTCCAGAAGGGTGTAATCTTTTAGCGTCCAGGAACACCATTCCTGAACACAATATTCCAACATTGGTCGAACGAGTGTTCCAAATTCTCAGCCGAAAAGTTCTTCGTCAAAATTGAGGAAGGGTTTTCTAATTGCGCCTAGGATACCCATTGCGTTTCTTAATACCTTGGCACAGTGAGACGATGGTTTGGGAATTCACGTCATCCACACACCGGGGTCTCTTAACTCGTTGACTGATTCGAGTTGGTGGCCTCCTATTAAGTAGTAAGATCCAAATCTCAACGGCCTCCTGCTGCTCGATCGTAATCGGATAAGTTGGCATTTGTTACGATTGAGGCTAAGACACCACTCATCACACCATCGTTGCAAGCGATTCAGATTGTCTTGTAACTGTACAGAGTCTTCCGGCTTTTCTATTGATTTCCACAATTTGAGATCATCGGCAAACATTACGCGCTTGCAGTTCAGACAGTCCAGACAGTCGTTTACATATATTAAGAACCGAACTGGACCCAGAACGCTCCCCTGCGGAACGCCATTGTGCACGGATGCCCATTCCGATCTAGCGTTTCCCATGCACACACGCTGAGATCTGCCCGTAAGAAAATCGGTTAATCATTGAAGCAGATTTCCATTCATGCCCATTTGACGTAGTTTAAATATAAGTCGTCTGTGTGGAACACTGTCAAAAGCCTTTTTGAAGTCAATGTACACGGCGTGAACTGATAAGCCAATGTTGATTGATTTCGTCCAGCTCGCCATGGATACTAGCAGGTTCGTGAGACAGGATCGACCACTTCGAAATCCAAGCTGATGCAAACTGAGCAAGTTGTTTTCTTCGAGATGCCGCATCAGTTCCGTTTTTATTACCTTTTCCATTAGTTTGCAACAGATGCTTGTGAGACTCACTGGTCTGAAACTATTTGGGGCTGTTCTCTCGCCCCTTTTTATATGAGGCTTATATTTACTTTCTTCCCGTCGGTAAGCAGAGCCCCGGTCTCCATCGAGGTTTTGAATATCTTGGATAACGAGGAGGCCAGTTGGTCTGTTAGTTCATTCAGGACTTTTGCTAGCACGCCGTCCGGATCAGGGGATTTTGTGGGCTGTATTTGACCCAAAGCTTTCCTTACCGTGTCTGTTGTGAAGTCCACCGTGCTAATTGTATTGTTTGATTTGACAATGGGGGGAGGGGAGGGGTAAACTCTTTCATCAAAAGCCGGCTCCTCGGTATACACGGACATGAAGAAATAGGATAACAGGTTCGCCTTATCTGAATTTTATGACCACGTATTTCCCCGGCGATCTTTTAGACAGGGAATGCAGTACCCTCAATCATCATGTTTCTCAATGGACTTCTAATTCAGAAACTATGAATTGCATTTTGTAAAGATTCAGCCCACCTCGTCTAAAACTCGCATGCAACTTTATTTTAACTTGCTTTGATGGGACCCCGACGGGTCTTTAATAAAAATTATCTATCTAAAATTATTATCTATCTACCGTTTGCGTTTCGCCTTATTTACGCATCCAAAGAAGTTTTTGGAATTTTGCGGGATATTTTTTAGAAGTTTCGACTTTTATTCTGTCCGTTCGCTCCTTAACAGATTCCGACATACATTTCTCTGTTTTTTGAAGTCATCGAAATACTCTGGTTGTTGACATCTGACGTACTTTTTCCAAAGTCTCCTTTTCAATTTAAGGTTCTTCTTTACTTCTGACGTCACCCACTGGTCGGGATGTGCGCGGCTTCCTCTTCAGTGGGCAACAGCTCTCTACCAAGTGCTGCACTATGTTCTTGAAGAAGAGCCAATCGCTTTCTGGGTCAGGTCCTTGTGCTGCATTCCAGTTCACCTTTTGTAGAAGGTTTTTAATTCGGGTATAATCCCCTTTCCATACGTTTCTTTCCTCAGCAGCTGGAATTTCGGGTACTGAAAAATGACTATACTCCCAAACAAGAAAGCAGTGGTCATTTCGGCCAAGGGGCGGGTACGATTCCAATCCGAGAATGCAACTATCATCCCTGGTGATGATGAGGTCCAAACAACTGGACTGCTGTCCATCCTTGAATCGAGTGTTCACTTTAACATGTTGGGTAAGGAACTCATTTGTGATCAGTTAAATAAATTTTTGTTTAAAGGATTTTTCAGATCGCGTGCAATACATCAAATCCCACTCGATGTCTGGACAGTTGAAGCCACCAAGTAGTATTATGTGTTTGCTTTGACAAATTTCTTTCATCTCGTTGATGAGTGCATCGTCCACATCCGTCCGCTGGCTTGGCGGTCTGTTAACCAGGGTCATATGGAGGCTTGGATGGTTTGGCACCTTCAAGTAACAATTGAGTATTTCACAATAAATGTGCCGAAATGGGGAAGACTCAACCCTGACGTAGTCGATGTCATCTCGTATAAATATTGCAACCCCTCCCCCACCCCCAGCCCTTCGTTCGTTTCGGTCCATTCGGAGGACCCGGAAACCATCTACCATAACTTTCGCATGTGTTATCTGCGCATTTAACCATGCTTCTGTTAAAGCTATTAAGTGGAGTTGGAAATGGACCACCGTGAGTTTTATTTCGTCCAGTTTGTTGAATAAACTCCGCGCATTTGTATGCATCATTTTTATGTTATTCGGTCGTTTAGATCTCTGGAAATTGTTTGCTGGTGTTTTTGACTGCTAGTTATTACTGCAAATTTCACATGGCGTAACAACTCCACTAGTCGATTTCGAATTTATTGAAGTTTGTCGGGACCGAGTGCTGGTACTTTTCCCGTCAATGTCACCGGATGATTCCACAAAAAGAACGCTTTATTTTCACAATTTGGTTGTTTACTATTTTCAAATACACCTGGCCCTCGCTCTGACGTTTAATCAGTTGCGCTACCAGCGCCCTCGTTTTTATCCCTTCGATTGGGTGATAATCCGGCTGAAAAAACTCCACGATGGTTGTTTCAAAGCCTGGACTTTCGCGACAAGATGATATCTGCTTGCTGTTCGTTCCCCAGTATGACTTTTAGTGTTCTCGGCCGCACTTTCTCTGCGTTGTTTCTAACTAAAGGTCCCAAACAGAAGATCTTTTGACGACACTATTCTATAACCCCTTTTCTAGTACACTCCCTACCAACGGATAAGTAATGTTACCTCTAAACAGGACCGCCTAATCATTCCATGCGGCTGCTGAGTTCTATTCTGTGTCACGACATCCAGTACATAGTGAGACTATTTGAGTTAAACTGGGACACCTACGAGATTGAATGCCTTCCTCTCCAAAGGACATATTTGGTTGAGGTTAAGGAGGGAGTCGGTGGATTAGTTTGGAGAATACCGGATATGGAACTACCCACACACGCCAAACATCCTTACCTGGTTTATTCCAGTCGGCAGTAGGCTGACGGTCCTTGCCGAAGGCGTCATTAAACATGGTAGATACTTCTGCTTTGCCCCGTACCGACAATTGGATTCCCTATGCGACGGCCATACCCCGAGAGTCATCCAAGACCAGCAGGCATAAACCGGATAATGATGTCTGGCGAGTGTGAATGCTTACATTTCCGGTATTCTCCAAACTAATCCACCGACTCCCTCCTTAACCTCAACCAAATATGACCTTTGGAAAGGAAGGCATTCAATCTCGTAGGTGTCCCAGTTTAACTCAAGTAGTCTCACTATGTACTGGGTGTCGTGACACAGAATAGAACTCAGCAGCCGCACTGAGTGATTAGGCGGTCCTGTTTATAGGTGGCATTACTGATCCGCTGACAGCGAGTAGACTAGCAAAGGGGTTATAGAATATTGTAAAAAAAAAGATGCCACTGTCCACACCAAACGGAATCTAAATCAGAACACACATGTGCGCAAATCAGAGATTGTTGTCACGTATGAAGTTTAGTCCATTCAAAAGCGAATATGGACAAGTTCAATCGTACAATGGAACGCGAGGACAGAGAATGGAAACATGTATGGACTTAAACAACCCTCCCCCACCAGACCGTTCGATGTAAGAAACAAACATTTAATAAAAAGGGCAAGAAATAACAGTTCAAAGCCTCTGAGCTTGGACAGCAAAATAAGCTCGTCTGTCAGAATGCGATAAAGTGCTTGGTGGCTGTCACGGGAAATCATTGTTTGTGGGTCGGACGATTATGCGCGAGAGTCGTAATGGGCAAGTGAATCAAACCAGGATGCGGAGGAATCAGATAGCACAACGGAGGACGGAATTGATTCACAATAGGGTAGCCTAAGTTTGTCTGTCCATTCAGGCTTTTGGGTGTCGTTAGAGGACACTATATGGGTTATCAGAAAGCGAAGAGAGACTGCATGATATATCACGGTTTTTTTCGAAAGTGGGATTTATTTATTCCACATGAACCTCACTTCGCCTTAATTTATTTTTACTGGACTCATCTGATGTCTTTGATACTGATGTACAAATCACGCCAGAAGCAAGAGCCCAAGAGACTATTCCCTAACACGCCAATGCAAAGGAAACCGAATTCAGACCTTAAGGTAGCCTTAACTACATTCCTTCGTGATGGGGATGATGATAATGATCGGTTCCTAGAACCGGACCACATCTTTGATCAGAAAATGCAAGCAAATAAACTTACGGCCGGGAAGCCACTAATACTTAAGAAGTTAGGGCAGCTGAAACAGAAATGAAGCGTTTGGTGTTGTGGCTGCACAACCACAACTACGTATCAACGGCTGTCTGGCAACCTAGATGCCGCCGCTTCGGGGTGAGGCAGTTCAAGTAGTTAAGGTTAATGAGGAAGGTGGAGAGAACATCTTAGAATTAGATGAAAAGGCGCTTAAGCGCATACTCTGCAAGCCTGAGGTGCAGCACAAGAAGGTCGTGGTCGTGTCAGTCGCCGGGGCGTTTAGAAAGGGAAAATCCTTTTTACTTGACTTTTTCTTGCGATACATGGCATCGAACAGCGCTGAGAATTGGCTCGGAGACCCGAATGCCCCGCTCGTTGGATTCCACTGGCGTGGAGGGGCGGATAGAGATACTTCAGGCATTCTTATGTGGAGTGAACCGTTCCTTGTGAAGTTACCGACGGACGAAGAAGTGGCCGTCCTCTTTATGGATACACAGGTACCAGCAAAGTTTCCTTTCGATCTGTGCTGTAGGGCTCCTTTGATTCTAGGAGTACAGTGAAACAGTGCGCAACCATTTTTGCCCTGAGCACTATGCTAAGTAGCAAACAAGTGTACAATATTCATGGAAATTTGCAAGAGGACAATCTGCAGCACCTTCAGTTCTTCACAGAATATGGCCGCATCGCCCTGGAGTCCGGATCTAGCGAAACTCCCTTCCAGGTAATTTCGAAGTGTCTCCTGCTGACTTCCAAGTTGTTGGCCACTTATGCGTGGGCAACTTGTTTCACGGGTGTCGTAACGTCAGCGGAATTGGCATCCTAGGGGTCTCACACATGACCTTTTAACTCATTAGCGGATCATGCGCTTGTCTGTATATTGTTTCAGACTCAAGCTGCTGGGGAGGCATGGCCTGCTAAACAGTTCTAGTGCTACCGCAACCTCTTCCATCTTTGTAGTAAACCTGCATTCCCTCGAATCGTCGGTTTCTGATCGAATTACCAACCGACTGTTGGTAACACATTATCGCCAAACGTTAGAGCCTGATTCATCTGGAGATTGTGAATTTAGTCTGGGTATGTGGCCGGGGATTGTATTTCAGTAAAGGGACCATCTATAGGCTAAAAGTGATGCCTGAATTACCCCGCCCTTGATAGCCCGCCACTATTGATATCAGGTTGAGGTGAAATCAAATTTCTTTGACCTACCGCAATCAACCCGCGTCGTCATCCTCCAAAATATACGACTCCCTAAAATATCTAGTTCGGAAAATTGTGACCCTCAGTTATGCCGTCTTGGTTGCTCCCATTCCAAATCATTACCATATTTTTTAAAACATACACAAAACACTGTTTTTTAACCTCACACTGATCTTTTTCCTCGCTTTGGGTAAAGTGGACATTTCCGTATGAGTCACATCACATATTTTCCTCTAAGTGCCCAAGCTTTCTCTTCGTCTAACCTAGAACTGTGTAAAAGAATGCTGCATAGTTTGTGATATCGCTACTGTCAAACATCTCGCTCTGTACGAGACCTATCGTTCGCCTTGTAAATTATTGGCATAGTTCTCTGCATGTTCCTCCACCAAACTAAGGGAAAAAATAGAATTACGTATGTACCACGCCCATATGATGACTTTGTAAACCTAAAATTCCTCTCCTTACTTTGAGTACACTTCCAAACCGTCCCTTGAACACGCGTATTCAATAAGCTCTGCAAAATTTGCACAACCTGAATTGTTTAATAACGGGAAACAATTTATATGGCGGTAAAATACCGCGATACAAAGCACCTACAACTATAAAACAGGTCCCTACTTAGGACGGGAAAAATCATTCCATTGGCCCCTCGAATTTGCGTTGGTGTTCGACAGCTCATGCTGTAAGGCGTGACCATCATCCCCTATCACCTGTTCTTCTAGCTGTGCAAGTTTCACCTTCGTACAGTCTCGAATGAGGAATGTTTATAATCCTTTGGTCAATCAAAACTTATGCAACTCAACATTTATTAGTCATATTTGAAAAGTGTATCAGAAATATGTAGAAGTAACAAGCAGGCCAATTTGAAACAAATTGACTACGTTTCCTAATAATATAATTATGGCAAAAGATCAGATCGTGCCATTTCGGTAGACGAAACACCGATTTTTCTCACTGATTTCTTTTCCCTACAGCACTTGGAATTCCTAATCCGGGATTGGAGTTACCCCTACGACTATCCTTTCGGCAGCGTCGGTGGCATGGGTCTTTTAAATAAGCGACTAGAGGTACTCCGTGTTCTTTGCCCTTGGTATTATTCTTATTTATCCTGCCATCTTGTTATTGTACCGTCTTGTGTTATATCTTCGGTTATTGTGGTCGATTACAATATTTGGTTTACTTTCGGGACCACGAACATACGGTGCTTATGAGACGCCATCTGTCTAAAATGCTTTCAAGATGTAACAGAACTTGGGTAGGTTACTATTTGCTGATTCAATTTCCGGTAAAATTACTCGAAGTTGTTACCTAGATTTATAATGCATTAGACAAAGTATATAGGCGACACTAAACAATATTTCACAGGAAAGCGAGCACACCAAACCAGCCTCATAGGGCGTTCTACGTTAAGCCTAGAACCTAGAATAAGGGTGACCACCCTAGGTGCTTTGTTATGAAGACAGGGAACGTAATTTAGGTTATGGTAGTCCTGTGAGGGGAAATCAGAGCAAAATGCAGTACCGGTGTCACAAGGACCACAAATTGAGACAGTCTCGGTTGTCGCGCTGAGAAGTTCTTTTTATAAGAATCGCAATACCCCAGACAAGCTTTTTGTTCGCGAGAAGTGCCTTGATACTTGTTAATCTTATTCGATACTGGCTCATCATTTTAGGCGGTGCTTCCGAAGGTTTGATTAACACATAGCAGCCACTTTCTTTATCTCGCATTGAGTCAGGACTTACCATTTCGCACTAAAATACGTCCGCCAAGATGGAGAAGCTCACCAAATCGGCTTGGAATTAGCAAACTTGCAGACGGGCTCTTACTCATACAAAACTTATGTGCCAAAAATAACATTTTTTACGGAAAAAATTTAACTAAAGATCTTTTCGATTTTGTGTCCGTTGGCTTTTCTGATCAAGATGTCGTGACGGAGCTGTATTTCTACCGGAGTTTATCGATGTCTATTAGAAAGGGACTTTGAATGTGTGATACAAAAACCTGACTTGGAAACACGTGAACTTGCAACCAGGCAATATCAACGTTTTCGTGACGCTATCTAACAATAACAGTTCTCTAGACATTGTCGCATAAATAAAAACACTGCCTCACGCCTTAGTCTGCACTGTAAACAGAAATTCCTCCCGTCTCTTAAAGTATTGATTTCTACCAGCCTGACAAGTTCCACCTACTTTTTATCGACAGACGCCCCGAGCTCCCATCATTTGCCTGTTTGGAGTTTTCCATGTTTCGTGCTAGACTCTTCTGTGCAAATCGTCCATCCCGATAACTAATTGGATGACTGTAGTCTGCATGTAGTGAAACTCGCATAGCCACCAAACTGCCACCACATTTACACCGGTCGGGCTACCCGATTGCGAAGGGATTAACTGGTTCCTTTCGGTGTTTTTAAAACATAGAAAGTCCCTGCAATATGCTTGGTTAATTTCCCTCGCTTACCCAAGGATTTACTTAGATGCTTGCACAGCCTTAATTAGTTATGCTTTCTTTAACACGTGTACGGTTTGTTCCCAATAAACCCCGCGTCTTCTACCTCTCAGATCACTCCTGGAATGCATCCTGAACACGTTTCCCTTCGAAACCACATTGTGTCCTGTTTCTCGCGTCTTCGTTGCTTCCTGATGCCACACCCGGGCTTGCGGGTGGCCACCAGTCCGAATTTTGATGGTCGTCTTGCAGACATTGATCCTGAATTTGTGGAACAACTCCGAGACTTTGTGCCCCTCCTCCTATCACCGGCCAACCTCGATGTGAAGATGATTCACGGCCAATCAGTTACTTGTCGCGACCTCATGGAGTACTTCAAGGCGTATGTTAAAATCTACCAAGGTGGCACCCTTCCGGAACCCATGTCAACTCTGCAGGCTACGGCTGAGGCGAACAATCTGACCACCCTTATCCGTTGCAAGGAGCAATACATTCGGCAGATGAACGAGGTGAGAACTCGTCTGCTGTTCGCTTGATCCAGGCAGCTTCATAGTCTGAGACCTCTTCGTTATGGACAACTCATTCCAGTGCAGTGTAGAGAATAGATAATTGAGTCAAATTTTACCGTGCGGACTAGTTACATGTCTTCCGAAGGATTTGTCACAATTAATTACGAAATGGGACCGTATTTACACAATGTATTTTTTCTTCAAAACCAGAGGCAAACCACAAAGTATACAAAAAAGAATGTATGGGGCAAAGTCAGATTTGCTCCGTTATAATATCTACTCAAAACTTGTGGCACTTGGCGGCGCAGTTGCTTAGTTCAACTTATAATACTGACACTGCTGAATCCAATCCTAGGTCAGGCGGTTCAAGAGTTTCAGTGAAAGGACTACGGTCGTACTGATAACCGAATGCACCGGGCTTCTTTAAATCTTATCTTGCGTAAAACCAGCACAAGTATGTTTATTTCGCTGTTTTCGATCATTTCCTGCGTTCTAGGCTTGCCTTTGCATGTGACTTATCAGTCAAGGAAATGATAAAAACCAAAAATAACAATCTCAGGCTAACCTTGTCGATCGGTCGTCGTTTTTGTCCCATTTAATAAAACTTTCGAGTTCATCCGCTTTTTTGAATTACACACGCGGATTTCTTTATCACATATTTCCGCCAATTACACAAAAATTATGATCTTCCGAGCCCAGCAGACAGGCCTGTCAACCTTACTATCCATTGAACTTAATAATTGCCGTTGATAGTACAGGCTGCTGGGGCTGTGAAGACGCCACCTGAATGTCGCACTCGCTTATCAGCCAGCGCATGAATAATTATCCACACTAACTTGACTTAACTGAATCCAGATTTACACTTTCTGTTAAATATCAAAAACGCATATTTTTTGGACGTTTTCTCCCCCATTTTCCTTGTCTGTGGCTACTTTGATTTTGGTGGTCCAGACCTAGTCGGTATTTGGCTAATATTGCTCAAACTCAAGTGAAGCCAACTTACCTGTTGTCATGTATTTGACCTCCCCTCCCCCTTTCACAACTTTTACAGCGCCAATCCACTTGATTAGTCGATACAGTTGTTCAAGGCGGGGCCTGCAGGGTTCAGTAGCCCACTACTTACCCTTTGAAGAACTCTGTATGGCTGGAGACAATCTCGGGGCGTCTGTTGGGTGGTGAGGGACGGATTAGACGCGGTTATTGCGGCCAGCGTGCATCGTACTTCTCATCCGTATAATGAATGCATTGGCCATAATCATGCTTAATCCAGCCGACCTTAACCAGGTCAGAGAAGGTGATCTGCTCACTCAAAGACAACTGGCAGCCCAAACCACTTCTATCGTCTTCTCAGGGTGCTCTGGAACATTCTCGCGATGTTGTTGCAGCGAATGTGGTCTGCTTCATCCAGGGCAAAGTCTGTTTACTCTACTGGAAAAAATCGTTCTCAGGCAGCAATGACCTAAGAACTTAAGTCTGCCCTCGTTTTCCACGCACACAGCCCATCATTTAGAACCGTAAAAGGGACCGACCCGATGGGATATCGCTACGGGTTCAGGGACTCTGAGCAGCTTGCAATAGCCTTCTTTACTATGTTCATTCGGGAGGAGTCCAGTGCTGATCTATTCGGAACCGTCTATTTCATCAAACTCACTGTCATTAATTAGAAAGCGGTATCTTCAACGGACCAGAGATGCAGCTCGATAATACTTTTGTCTTCTCCGCGTTGACGAATAAAACGACTGATATAGATGATAGCTTAACGCCAGGTCTCGAGCTTTCCGGACTTATCAGCAATAAATTCGACATCCATACCACGAACAGGGTAACTCGGCACAGGGAACCTAGTGACGAGACTTCGGCCGTCGCGAGCGACGACGTTAACCGTGTGAGCCGCGGGGCGGACGCAGCGCCGGTGGCTTGCGCGTGAATTAGTCTATAGCGGGGCAAATTTGTGAAGCATCTACTGCACTCTCCCCTCTCTCACCCATCAGGCCCCGATGGTAAGACTAAGGTGGGCTCGAGCGCAGTGGTTAACGGAGCTAATAAGTCCGTCTGCGCATGCCACACACAGCCTCACTCCCGCACGATATACCAGGTTTCCGCAGGGTAGGAGGAGACTTTGATCTCGCGTTCGCGAGAGTGCCACTGGGAGCACATTAAGAAGGATCTATTGGACTGACTCCCAGTCCTCGAACCAGTCACTCTGCATACACACAGTACTGACCACGAGGACTGGGTTCTCCAGTCAGCTGGCAGCTTTCCAAATGACGAAGTTTATTCCCATGATAATTTCAAAGCCCGTCAAGTTTATCGTAGTGAGGAATGCACTGGGGCGCTGTAGGGATGGATTGTCTAAGGTTAACCTCACTCCCTCGTCCCTCTCTCGTGTACCAGTCTGCTGTTCGAGTCAGTCACCTGGCGCCGGGGTTGGGCACGGTGTCTGACAAAGCTGCAACGGTTTGTCTAGATGTGCCTGGTTAGGCACCAAGTTGCGCCAACGATGCATGTTCTGTTCAAGGCGCGTATGGCCGAATAGACCCGGGCGATAGCGGAATGTCCTTGTACAGTGTGGACAGATGCGACCGGTGTATATTGGGCCTCCCAACTCTAGTACATCAGTCTCAGTGCGATGGATTCGCAAGTATCCCACCAGACCCGTGCGTGATACAAATGCGTGGTGGCAGTAAGGACAGGATAGGACTATGGCAAGCTAGCTGACGGTGTGGCGATGCAATTATTATTGGTGACGGTGCTGGTGGTAAGGGAGTTTTCAGCTGTGGCAGACAAGTCTGGAATAATGACATTGCGGTGGATTCCGCTGTCACGGACACGCATATGGTCAATTAAACCCATGTGATGTCTGAATATTCTGAGTATTGTAAGAAGATGAAACACTCGGGGTGGGTGTATGTCAGGGCCACAGGTACTGGTTCGTCAACTCTGTGCGATTGATTCGCTAGTGACTGACCAGGCTAATGAGTGACGAGAACGTGCGGGTCCACTGGTGACAGGTTGGAATTTAGTCCGTATTTTGGTGGTAAAGACAGTGGCGGCAATGTTTTGCAGGTCGGTATAAATGTGCTTATTGGTGTTGCAGGTGGGATGCGCATTGGTGGTGTGTTGGGAGGTGAGAGGCGGTTTGGTCGTGTGGCGATCGTACGTGGTCCGTGGACGTCTAACGACGCCGATCTATGTCTGAGACGTCCGTTGGCAGTGCGGGCAAGATGTCAGGGGTTGAGTGCAGTCGTTGGACTTAATTCATGTGGGTCATTTTCCTTGCCCTGACTGCGGCCAGTCGGTTGTCTTCAAATGAGAGATGATCTTTTAAACGTGTGTGGAAGAGAGTACAGTAACCCGTGACTGCGCGTTTCGGCGCCAGTCACTGAGCTATGTGCATGTGGCAGTGAAACCGTAAGCTGGTTAGGATGTCGTCAATCTGCCTGAACGCATAACCACCGTTGGAATGCTAGAACAGCTGATATGTTCTTCAATTTAGAGGCGCATGATTAGCTTTGCAATGTGTGTTTAACGTCAATACGTCTCGCATTGAAAGGGCTTGTTTCAGTGTTACAGTTCATGAATTTTCGAGTGTAAATTTCCATAAGGCATGCGCTGCACACTATCGTGAAAATTTCATAAACGCAGACTATCCCAGATGCTTCAATCACTACGGTGTTCCATAAACGCCTCCTTTAGCTTATCCCGCGAATTTTCGGTAAAGACTGCTGTAAAAATCAAGTTAGTTGACTTATTTACAATTCTGGTTGACTAAAAAGTCCGTGTGCACTCTCGCATTGTATTAGTTTCGAATATGCACATGCTAGAAAAGTACTTTTAGTAGCGTCTAAGATGCGTCAGGTTGGTATTTTAGTTCTCACATAGCCAGCTCGTGCACATCCGACGCTCTATCCACCTGAGCTACGAGGCTCTGATCGTACCGATCTGAATTCCACCAATGTTATTTGAAGACCACACGTTTTCTTTGTAGCATTTGGAGCACCCGAATCATGCAAGCCAGCTCGTTCAGCTCCGCTAATGACACCAGATTGCTGAATGTGTAGTTTTACACTTTCACAATCAATTGACTCATTTCAGGTGCTTCCAAGATGTTGATCGTCGTCTAAGGCTCAGAATCTCAGTTGTTCTTTGAATCCAATCTCACAAGCAGCTGGCTGACAGTCGACTGGTGTGCGGGAAGGAGAAGACAGAGGAGTGAGTCCGACACTGGGGCATACATCTCCACGACAAATCAACGCATTCCTCGATATAGCAGGTCTGACGCGCGCTAGTAGTCGTTGCTTAAAAGGTTGAACACTAACGGGAGAACTCAGTTTTCTCTCAGGACTGACAGTCAGGCTGTAACGGCTCCTTCGCAATGTGGCCTTTATGGCTGTCTCACTGGTGTAAGACCCGAGTCTGGGGCAAATTTAGTGGGAGCAGGTCGTGTGTGGCACGCGCAGACGGGTTGTTTTAATTTGCTACCCACTGCGCCCACACCCACCTCCGGTCGTCTTGGGATTGTCCTCCCATCGGAGGTTAGTGGGTTAGGGAGAGGAGAGTGCAACAGAAGCTGCTCAGATTTACTTCACTATAAACTAATTCTTGCGCATGTCACCGTGGCTGCAAGGAAAAATAGAGTAAGGCAAAATAATCACATTACGCGCGAACTGCAAGTATCCCCAGCCGTCTCAGAATGCTCATGGTAACCCCACCATAGTGGAGGTCGATGCGCAGGCAGACGAAAAATCTCTCAAAGGAGTGATCCAGTTCAGCTTCTAAGGTCTCGTCCCGAATAGGAAACCTCATAAAGAGCCCAAACTCCACTCTCTGAAGACGCGACCGAAAGTCATTGTCCTTGCCTTAGTTTGGTTGTGAAATATCTCCACTACAAGACGTTCTCCTCTCAGAGATCACTGTCCTAAACCGCCACCCACAATTAATCCGCAACGCCCTCAGAGGACAGCTCAGTAGCAGACAAATTTGGGGAAGAATGTGTTGCCAGGGGCAACGAACCCGGCAGTGGAGGAAGCCGGAGAGATGGCACTTGATGAACAGCGGGCCTTGAGCAGATGTGTGGGCTACTATCTTACTCGATGCCGAAGTTTCTTGAGTCAGTACTGATTGTAGCCGACGTCGGTATACGTAAGTAGTGAACGCTCGTAAAAGTTGCGAGGAAAATTTGTGGAGCATAGTTCTTTAAAGGAAACTGGAAGATAGGGGAGGCGTCAACTGCCAGCCTTCCAATTTGCCTCAGAACATGGCGGTTACCATTCGCGCCACAACCAGTCATGTAGGTGCCAGACAGCTACTGAGTGGTATGAGGGTTTGTACTAGCGACCACCTGCAACCGCCAAACAATTACGCCATAGTCACCTTGTCTTTCATAAAGTCAGAATCTTTTTTCGAGTAGAATCCGTTTTTGCATCACTCATTAACGCATACTTGGGGTACCTCTTCATGCTCTGCTCACCTTTGGTCTCACTCGGAACTTGCTAGCTAGGGTCAAAACCACCATGGACGCGCGCTCAAGCTAACCTGACCAGCACAATCGACTGACTTACTACTCTGGTGACACGAAGTCAATGTAAGCGTTCCATCTGTGCAGCCGTGATCACCCAGAGATCCGCGCACTGTAGGTAGCAAGAGCGGCAGCAGCTAGTAACCATGTACTGTCTCGTAGGATTTTGCTTTTTGTCTGCGTAGTTATATGAATGTATCTGTTATCGGACCGTATTCCAGCATCCATGCCTGGGGATATTGTTTGTGTTTAGGAAGAAACGACCCCTGCAAATGCAACGAGCACGTCGGTTGGAAATATCACGGTGAAGACAATTGTGATGACAATTGTGAAGACAATTATGATGCATCTTGAATGTGGTCTCACCTAGTTTTTCTCCTTTCTGTCCCACCCCACTGCGCCGCCACAGGTTTGCGGCCCAACTCGTCCCTACGTGGCCAGTAAACTCATAGACAGCGCACACGAGATCGCTCTTCGCGCAGCCAGGAAGCTTTTTGCACAGATTCCAAAAATGGGCGGGGACGAATTCTCCAAGCCCTTCGTTCTACGCCTTGAAAAGGAACTCGCTCAACTGTTGACAGACTACAAGGAGTCGAACACCAACAAGAACACTCTTGAGGTATGTACCGAGTAATTTTTCTTGATCCCAATCACTTACCGGTGCTCCGACCCGGTATGATAGCATTTCACTCCTTTTAAGTTCGAAGTCCGTGCTGTCTAGTCGTGTATGCTCCCTCTGATAACCGTAGCAGCTTTAGTAGGACTGATGAACAATTTTTCTCCCCAAACGGTGTACAAGAATCCCTTTGCTTTATAATTATATATTTCGTGTGGAACTAGCCCAGTCGTTTCCACGCCAATAATAATGACAACGGGCTGTCTTCCACACTGACGCAGGTTTGAGACTGTATGTTTATCAGCTAAGACCCAGTAAATATATCGACGTTATCTCCACGGAGCCGGCCGCTCTTTCCGTGCCGAATAGAGTTTCAAGTCAGTCTTCGTGTGCGCATCTCGTAAGATGGGTTATGCCAGCGTTCTTATTGATTTCGTTTGTAACTGTGCTATTTTGTTCGAATTCGATCGGAAAAGCTTACGCTAGCATGTTGTCTACCACTCAACAGCCACGTTGTCAAGGGTAAGACCGAGCCATTGACTATGTTGTCAACTGGATGCTCAATGTAGGCATATGCAGCTCCATGCTTTCATCCACAACATGCCCAAGATAGATTTTAACTACCAGACAATAGAAAAGGATTTAGACGAACTAGCCAAAAGGGGGGGGGGTATTTCAACAACAAAATTTTCCTGAAAATGCTGGCTAGCATTATCTGTATGGTGGAAGTCCGCATACCCGAGCCCGATACAGTAATCAAGTATTGAGGGCCACTAGGCGATGTAATATGTGCCAAAATAGGGTTCGCACAACCCAGTTTGACATTTCTCAATGTTCGAAATAGCGCGCTGAACTTCGGAAGATTCAGGAAAGAATCCTCAACACCCGCACCAAAGCAGTACGGATGTATATGTTGAAATCCCTAGCCTTCCTGGCTGAAGGCTTGCCAGAACTAACCTTTCTAGACGAGGGGTGCCTGAGACGCACCCACAGTGGTAGGCTGACATGAATTTACTTGTCGGCCAGGTCATGACGTAAACGTGCATAAGAGCAGTTTCCAAGTTCAGGCAGTCCCACCAAAGCCGTTCTAAAGTGGAAAAGTAGGACGGTTGCCCGGGTGGTGACGAGGGTAAGAGGGGTAGCACATGCTAAAACTGAGTTTTCCAGACTGAGAAGCAAACGCCGTCTGCGCTGTCTTCTAAATCGTCCGCTGGATCTCAATGACGCCCCTGCACCAGTCCTGTCTATGGCTCACTTGTTTGGTTTCCGCTTTACTACGTCTCAGCCCATCTCCTGGATGAAGTGGAGTGAAGTGGGAGACACAGATACATTGAAGTTTGAGCATGTTGTAGTCAGAATAGGTTCATTGAGAAGAGGCAGATGCGATCGCTGGAACCTAAAGTTTATTTGCCTGGCACTTTTCCGATTCTCGCTTAAAGTCAGCCTCAGAAACAACATAGGATGAGGATACTTGATACGCAAGGGTTGCAGCATTTTAGGAAACAGACGCTCGCGACCACACATTTGTCCAAATTAGTGACTTCTGCATTCATCGTAGATGGTTGCGCATGGTGCGATCATTGATTTCTTGCGGACCCGCATTCAAGTCAGCAATGGCTGCGACTTCATCTGCAGTGCTGGTTTTTGACGTGATAATTACTCGGCCGTTTGGTTTGCTCGTTCATGCGCTGCCCGCATGGCCAATTACCCTGCCCAGGTAAAGTCTTGGCACAGAAAAATTCGGGAAGTCATTACATTCGTTGATGGACTATGGTCCGAAGAAACACAATTGAATCAGCTCGCGGCCTACGTACTTGCCACCTCCCTAAGAATGTTGGCTTCTTCGAACTTGAAGATGTGGCCGGGTCCCATCGAATGAGCCGCGACTTAAAAACTAGCGTCATTCCTCCTCACTGCTGTTGATTTTCCGGCCATCCGCGTCCGAAGTAGTCTTCCATCTCCGCCGACGCAGTTGCTCTGCTCGCAAACGCAGCATATCCGACAAACGACCTTAGACGTTTCCTGTCGCGGCACCTGATATTTACCTTCTGTCTTTATAACCCCAACTCCAAGCAGCGTGAAAAGGCGGATGACGGTGTCCGGAACTTTCTTGACGCACAGGAGCGCTCGCCAAAATTTGGAGCAGATGTGGCCTGGTCTCTTGTCTAGTTTGCACCTGCGCCTATTGGCAATGTTACGTGGACTGCCATTCATTCTGAGCACCTGCTGAAGGTATTTTAATTTGGCCACCCTGTCTTCTGATTCCCGGCAGTGCGCCTGCACACGCCGATATAACCCCACTACACAACCGCCTGGTTGGGTCGCCGCTGCAAATCAGTACTGACATCGTATTTGTCACTTTTGTGTCCAGGCCACCACCGTCTTCGCGGCAGACGAAGACATCAGAGAAGGCTAGCTGGCTGTTTTCTTCCCCCTCCATCGCAAATTGTGTGTCAATAGAGAGAGATGTATATTCTATTTTGAAAGTACCATTCCAAAATTTTCAACAAAAAGGCCTTTATTCACTTTTAATAAAAATGGGTACGCAAAACAGATAACGCCAGCGATAACTGCTGAGGATTGCAACTGTCGAAATCATGAAGAATCACCGGCGAATAAGTTGCAAAGTTCGCGTCAGATTTTGCCTCCTTCAAAACGGTGCTAGCGTAGTGTGCGGATGACCTCATTATTGTGGTTCTGATAAACAAAGAGGGGAAAAATCATCACATACTGAGTAGAGTAGGCCAACGGATGTACATGCAAGGAAATCCCCACGTGAACGCAGAGCAGAGAAAAGTGTCAGCTCAATTTTTAAAAGCCCACCCGTTGTATAGTTATTATTGGCATGTCCACGTCGATGACGACGAAAATGTCATCCGCAGACCGAGCCCATAATTTTGATCTGTGGTGTCGGACGACCACCTACTCCAGCCGTTACAGAACCGCCTCGGCTATGGGCTGCGAAATCTGAATAAATTAATGCGCGCGTTTCATATGGTCGTAGGATGTCCCGTCTAACGTCAGGTACGTCTTAAAATAGACCTTCAGCAGCAGGATTTGGACGTGTCCAAACCGTTTCTTCGTTTCATCGTATTTGCTTTGTAAAGGTGGTTTGATGATCTCGACTGCCAGATCCTGGGACATAGAAGTAAAGAAGGAAGCGACATCAAAAATGTCATGACCTCGTTTGATGGGCGAATCGCCCTTCTAACCTACCCCAAAACTGTGTTGCCGAAATGACCGTGGTGTTTAAATTACCACTTACAACTTTGAGATGACGAAGCAGCCATTTTCTCAGTCCATGAGTTAGAGTGCAGGAAGGCCAGAAGGGAGCAGCATATTTTGGTGTCCTGTGAAGGCTATAAAATCGGTCTAAGGCCGTTTCCTGGTGTCTTGCCATGCTTCACTCCATTGGCGATATTACACCTGAATTTTAAATTTCCAACAAAGTCGTATTGATTTCGCATGTTTCACTATAGTAGGAATGGCGTTCACTGATCAGGTTAGGGGACACGCTCATTCCGCTGCACTTTTAGTGCTCAATCTGGAGCCCTCGCAGCCAGTTGCATGGTGACCAGCAATTATAGAGGAACCAGTACCGCATGAGATGTCAAACTGGTGATCCTCCAGTAAGCTCTTGGTCTCCTTACGAGAGCCAGTCCTGTCCCAGTGATCGCATCTTATTCTCAGCTGCTTCCGGGAACTCGCATTTTTGCTTGTATCAGCGACGAGTTCATTCTAAAGACCCCCGTACACTCGCATCACTTTCGAAAATGATACATAGTACAGATTACGCCGAGAAAACGGGCAATTTTTTCTGCCTTGTTTCTGGTTTTTACGGGAAATACGCGTAATGTAGACTTAAAGGCGCTATCCTACCCGCCATTTTAATGTGCATTTTCAATGCGTGCCCGACGCAAGCCATTCGCCCGCCTGAGCGTCAAATATTAAACTGCTGCCGTCATTTTTGTCGCCGTCTGCGTACCTAAACTTTGTTGTGTCCCTCGCAGTGGCCGCAGTTCGGCTTACCTAAATCGTGGACTGCGATTGCGCTTTTAACCGTCCGCGCTTCTTCCACTCGCCTACATTTCCCACCCCATACGTTCTTTCACACACTTCGGATCGATTAGTCTGTGAAGTAATATTTCAGCCAACCCCTTCTCATTGTCCAAGACTGAACGCACGCTTCTACAAACCTCAGCGATGGCTTTGTGCCCGGCACCAACAAAAGTCCGCACCAGTGACACTCATCTGCGTCTACTATCGACATACATTTGGGGTTAGGACTGGATTTGTTGGACCTCCCCCCAACACACCCTAACACCTACCACCAAAACACTCCATTCATCACCAAATCCGCAAACAGACTCTAATGGGGATGGCTGTTATCACGTACGACAAGAGCCCTACTGAATTCAATGTATCGCCTGCGGAGTGTATCGCTTGCGCCCACTGTTGTTGATCATTCTAAAAATAGTCTTGGGAGTATATCAAATGGAAATTGTGTCTGCAGTCTCCTAGAAAGCCGCTCATCACAGTTTCCACTTAGAGTCCAACCTGCCACTCGGGTATCCGGTCTACAGTTGTCGCCACTACTTCCAAACGACACAAGAATTGAATTACCACTCTTTTTGTCATGGACTACTTCTATTTAGCAAGTTTCTCGTGCGAAATTTCACAGCATATGCATGGAGACCCTGAAGAGTCCAGTGAGAGTGACACTTCACAACCCCGAGTAAACTTAATCAAAGGAACTTAGGGCCACCATGCAACTTGAGACGATGTGTTTCAGTGCACTCCCAGAAAATGTCAAAATCTGGTCTCGATTGCGGACTTTTACAGCAAACCTTCACTGCCTCGAGTTTCTATATGTCAGCTTCTGAAACAGGCGAGTATTCGAATTCCCCTCGGTCAGTCAGCCTCGGCATAAGTTTTTTAGCCGTGCCATCAAGGTCGGGTCCCAAATATCTTGCTGACTCGTACTTGATTGATTAGAACGTCCATCCTGGCGATCCATATGAAAGATATCCTGTAATAACGACGACTGAGCACACCTTGTCTTGCGTAACGTAACTGCAGTCTAGCCCTTTCGAAGAAATTATTAGATTTAATTTGCTTTCATGGCGATAGCTGCTTCTTAGGTTTTTATTCATAGTCAGCAGTTCGGTTTCATCAGAAGACTGCTTGCGAAACCTTTTAACAGGCAAGTCGAAAAGTGTGCCTGGTTTCCTACGTAAAATATTATCTGGGTACTTGAAGGCTGAAAAACCATAAGTTTTAAGATCGAAATTCCCTCGGGTAATGTTGCGGAATTCGATTTCTACGAAAAACTAGGTAGACCAAAGAAGAAGGTTTATTACACAGATAATGTGTTTGCTATTTTTCAGTTCCTGTGCAGGTATTAATCTTGCGTTGAAGGGCCTACAAATAAGATCAAGGGCAGCAATTCATAAGAGGTCTTTTGTAGCCTGTAACCCACCATCGTAAGACATGATTCACGGCTAGCATAACTGTTGTCCGTAGTTTTGGCAAGTTTATCAAACAATCAGGTCAAGCACTAGGGACAACTGTTTGCAGCTTAGTCCTCAACAAAACTTGTGAAAAGAATCTGATCTCGAGAAAATAAGGGAGTTCTTTGGCGAAACCGAAAGAACACTAGCCTTAACTAATGTTACTACGTGCAGTAGTTGAAGAAACTGTTGCAATGTGATTAAATTAACCCAAAAAACCTCTGTGGCGTACTGGCCGAACACTTTCCATCTGGGAGGGTTTTATTAAGTCAAAGAAACTGTCCTCCAAAAGAAGACATAGTTAGGTTTTTAGATTGTCAGTTAGTTGTTGCGAAATAGTGTTTTTGCCAAAAAAACAACACCTAAGAAGGAGTAAGTTACAGGTCACTTTTTGGGCTTACCGTAAAAGGATAATGAAAGGAATTGCAATGAAAGCAGAAAATAATGAAAGACCATTTCAAATACAAAGCACTCGTACTTAGTTAATCGTCTTTTCGCATGTAATACACTCGTTGGTCCGGCGGACATAGGGACTATTAAGTTCGCTGTGGTGAACTAGTATGTGCAATCATTAAACACAACATCTATCTTCTGTTGCATTGAAGTGCTTTCTTACCTTATTCTAACTTCCTTTCAAATCACTCCGCGAAGATTTTCGTTCAGCCATGCGGGTTTGGATGAAAGTGCTTTGCGAGCCGCCGGCGGAGAGGCTGGTTGTGACCTAAAAGTGCCTTATAGTCGTTAGATCTATCCGACTAGTACCTCCTCTGAGAGGTCAACAGCAGCTTCATCCTGCATCATTATGGTTATCCATTCACTGTCGCCAAATGCCATTTTAACCGAAGGCATCCCTCACGATGCTGATCAATGCCCTGCCGTTAATGGTGTCTGTTGTTGATTCCAGATTGGTCACTCCTAGTTTGATGGCCATCGAAACCGTCAGCCCCTGACATTTTGGCTATAGGCCTAACCAGACGGGAACGGTGCCTGGCCTTACTAATAAAATTGTAAATCTGAGGGCGAAAATTCCCGACCGTTGTGAAACGATGATTTCCCGTCTCTCTCTCTCTCTCTCTCTCTCTCTCTCTCTCTCTCACTCACTCACTCTCCCTCTCCCACATTGTAGCATATAAAAACGCCCGGCGTCCTTGCAGTTATGATTCTGACATTCTACATAGTGACGGGTTTCTTCGAGGTCATCGGTCTTTCTGTTGTCTCCAACCTCTTCATCGTGCCTTTCTGGCTCTTCATTGTCGCACTTTTGACGTGGACAGGCGTACGGTTTAGTGGACATGCTCCGCAAGTTGGCGAGGTGATCGACGATGGAGCGCAGATCCTTGTGGACTGGGTAAGTTTTACGACCCTATTCTAAAGCACCGGGTCTTTTAAACTTCTCCTTTCTCTGGATACCTCTCTCTCTCGCAGCTGCCCCCGTGCTTGTTTGGGTTGTGTACTCCAAAGACCGTCTGGCCAAGTCTTCTGTGACCTGAATCGTGCTTCCTTGGCAATTTAAATTGCACTCGGAAGTTATTGGCTTTCTTTTGATTATTCCTCCCTCTTTCCAGCAGATAAGTCTTTGTAATTATGCCGAGCGTTAACATTTAACATCTCGAGGATCTGACTACAATCTCTACTTTGTCCCCCTCCATTACATAAGTGCAATAATTGCCTTCCAAGGACGTTCCTTTTTCCAGGAGCGTTCATCTATGCAAAGCGGTCGAATCAAAGACAAGAAGTCTTAAGTTTCATACGTTTAACCGCGGAAGCTGCCTCCTACGAAGCGTTAATTAATGGAAGAATTCGACAGGAAGCACGACACTACGACAGCTTGACCATCGCAAACGACTACCTTCACCTAGTGTCTCACGGGATGGGCGCAGCATCGGCGACTCGCGCGTGAATTAGTTCACAGTGAGACAAATTTGTGCAAAATCTCCCACGCACTTTCTTCCACCACCCACCTTGCTCCAAAGTCAGGGCGGCCGGAGCTGGGTGTGGACGCAGTGGCTGGCAGAGCTAAACAGCCCATCTACGCGGGCCACACACGAACCGGTTCAAAGAGTGGCTCGGATCGCACATCAGCGAGAGTATCGTTAAGACCACATTGAGGAGGAGCTGCTGAGCCTGACTGTCAGTCGTGAGGAGGACTGAGCTATACCGTCAGTTGGCACTCTTTCAAGTCACGATAGATTCAGGTGATTCGTGATAGCCTCAGGTTCGTCTGATATAGTATAGTGAAGGATGTGCTGATTTGCCGTGGGGACGTATTACCTCCGTGTCGTCTCACCCCATCCCTTCCCTTTCTCATGCACCAATCGACTGCCCGGGCCTGTCTAGCAGCTAGTGTTGTGAGGGCCTGTGTCTTAGGCGTGCCACATGTACGGCAGCAGTTATACCCTCTCGCGTTCCCAACGCTGCACAGTAAACGCGTACCGTGAACTAGTGTGAACTTCGTTGTGGGAAGTACAAGATGAACGCGCATGAGGTCTCGTAAGAGGCCTTTGGCTCTTCAACCTACGTCCACCCTTTGGACGCTAAATAGACTGATTTGTCCTCAGTTCCATGCTTATTATGCCCAGTTTCCAGGCCCTAATGAATAAAGGCCAACGATATTTCGACTTGCCCGACTGTCGTCAGACCACTTGGCCCTGATCTTCTGGTTGTCAGCTTAACCTTTAATGGGTAACGGTGTACTATATGGCACTCCGCCTACAGGTGCGGATCCCTTCCCCAGAACTTCTGTTTTGAAGCACTTCATGCGCCTCTTCTTAGCAGACGTAGTTTTTTTACGAGCGTCCTTGGTGATTGCCCACTAGTAGAACCAAAAGTCACCTTTTTGTTCAACGCGCCACGTTTTTTCTCTTGTCAATTTATTCCTACCAGTTGAGTCTGTTTCAGGAGTGATTCAGTGCCTGCCTCGCATTAGGGCTATATTGCAGAGCCAGTTCACCATACCATTGTCTTTAATGGGAAGCCCACTGTGATTATGTTTTTATGCCCCCGTTCCTTGCTGCGACTATCGTAGTGTGCAAGAATAACTGGAAATGGTTTCCCTGTCGTACACTAAGAACAGTAGTTGCCAAGTCCCTAAATTCTCCGTCAGATCGAGGACAAAACCTAGGTGAAGTTGCAGTGCTGATAAGTACACTACCCGATCTCGTTTTCATCAACAGGCATTGCAGTACTGTTATTTATATGAAGATCTTGTCATAATCCTGCTCGATTTTACTCACAATACCTGCTTACGTAGCATGTATGCTTGCGCAACCTCGGTCATTCTTCCTAAAGCTGACATTATGTTGGCGACGAGCTGCGTGTCGACACGCAAACAAGGACGCCAGTCGCCATCTTCTCTAGGGTCGCCGGTCTGTGTAGTGCACTTTGTTGCATGACGCGCTGTGTCTTCGATCGGGTCAGCGGGAAGTCCGTCTTCCGAGGGACCTCCCTCCTAGCCTTCTGACTCTACGCGTCGTCATGTGGTACCATACCCACCATACACTTGGCTTTAAAGCCCCCATCTTTCCCCCATAAGAGGTTTTACCACTAGACAGTGGGAAATCGACACCATTTGTCGTGTCTGTTATGTTTGGCGTTCTCCGACCTTACTCATGCTGTCCTGATTCATATCGTCAAAAAGCAAGCCAGTCAATCAGTTTTGCGTGAACATGAACTCTTTATTTGTGCTTGTGTGCATACTGCTACCAGAATTCCACTAGTCTGATCGCCAACTGTCGACCAAACACCTTCCAAGCACTCGCATATTTTAGGCAATTTCGACTTGCATTCATTTTCGTCTGTCCTCCCTCTCTTCTTCGTCGAGACGTAGACAGCGAATCATTGAGGAGCAAACCATTCGCACATTTTGCATTCCCGCAATTCCACATTTCTCATAGTTCCAAGATCATCATCATCATCATCATCATCATCATCATCATCATCATCATCATCATCATCATCATCATCATCATCATCATCATCATCATCATCATCATCATCATCATCATCATCATCATCCTCATCCTCATCATCATCATCATCCTCATCATCATCATCATCACCACCACCACCATCGCCACTACTGGCTTTCACCTTTTTAAGCCCAGTTGTGCAACATCCGACAATGTTACCTGCTTAACTCCCACCTTCGACTCACATTGTTGTGCTGTTGTGTCGAATAAATACATGTATGCACTGTGTCTGAACAGTTAAGCCAACAAGCCCATTCTATCAAGTGTCTTATCAACTATGCTAGCAACTAAAAAGACATTCGGTGACGAGTCCATGGTAGAGGGGAGAAACCTGTTGTTCAAATATGTTGTCGGAGCTGTACTCGAATTAACACGTTGAAGTTGTACGCTACTAGAACCCCTGGATAATGACAGGGCAAATCTGCCGTTGGTTGGTTTGCAACTTTAGTCTCCATCTCGTGAAGTTTTCTACGCTTCTTTTTCGCTGCCAGCAAATCCATTTAGCTATTACGGCAGCATGCCTGGAAACATATCTACCATGTTCAAATGGCCTTAAGAGGCAACTTCGGTCGGACACGGGGCTATAGATGCCACCCCCAACTACTACGGGTGACCTCGCGCTAAGTTCCAGGGGGCTCCTATTCCCGCGTCCTAACTTTGCCCTAATCCGAACCCAAAGTCCAACACTAACCCTAGCTCTAACCCTCTTCCTCTGGAGTTTAGGGCAAGCCCACCGGGAATACGGGGGAGTCGATATTCCATCCCCCAAACCGCAGATTTGATCCTCCCATTGTTGTTCGCGAGGCGTCATGCGATCTGCGCCGCCGAGTCCCTAGCGGGTTACTTGACTACGTGCTGGTTATGTACTGCACTGGTTAGTTCAAAAGTTGTGGGTGTATACGTCTTTCGAAGTGCGTAGAATTTCGGCGGACCGCTCTATCGACTAGCGAGACATGATTTTGAAGTCAGGTGGTGGTTAGGTCTTCCGACGGCGCCTGACTGCAGAACAGTGTACGAACGTACCGTTTTGCCTTGGTGCTTTGGTCTAGAGCTCGCGCAGACGACAGTGTCAATGATGTATTGCTGACGATGGCCTGGATGACTGGATTTACTGGCCCATCTGTTGTCAGCGTCGATGCCTGTCCTGGGTAGACCCGCGATGTGAACCTGAGCCCAGTTCATTACTAAGTTTAGCACTCGTGTTCATGCCATTTGGACTGCGGTCGGGAATTTTTCAAACCAAATGGGAAGTAGCGTCACCGATTGTGTAACCTTTCGCAGCATTATTTTCTACATGGAAGTGTACTTAAGGCTTTACTTCAGCGTTTCCGCCTCTGCTGTTTCCTGCATCCCTTGGCACCGTGCAGTAATCCTTTCATTGTTCCCCTGTAGGTCATCAGCCCCACCGTGGAGAAGATTGGGCAAAGGGCAGCCGCCCACGCACTGGGAGTGTCACCCACCTAAGTTGGCCTGAGGTCTTCTGACAGCCGCGAAGTTCCTTCCTCACACTCGAACTCCGCTCTTCTTCGCTGTCGCTGCCGCCCTGATTAGCGCCGCATTCCCGCGCTAGTGTTCTTACGGCCACTGGCGCCTGTGGACTCCCTAGATTACTAGTTATGCTTTCGAGTATAGCAATCAGGGGACTGTGAGGAGAGGAGTGCTTAGCGATAGATGAAGTGTATTTATTACTTTTACCGACTTCTCCACGTCTCTTTTTGCACAGTTCCTTCCTTTCCGACACTCCAACCGTCATTTGCCCCTCCTCTCCTCCTGCTTTCCCTGTATGGCAGACCCTTCGGTCCTTACTGACCGTCATTTATAACATGCGCACAAGCGATCGACCCCTCTCGCCGTCCTCCCAGGTTGCTTGACTGTGCTATTCTCTTGCACTTGTGACAGTTTTCTGCAATAATCCCCTGTACATGCAAATGTTGGGTAAAATTTAAGCATATCCCTTTTCTCACATGTTATTTAACGCATTTGGAAAGCAACCTCGTTCGTGGTCTCCTGTGCTAGTAATTACATTGAGTACCTTAATGAAGAGACTCCCAGGGGACAGTTCCCGAGGTTGTTTAGTTCAGCTAGCCTGTCACTTGTTGCTGTGCCGAATCCCAAGTGATCTACATTCGGGGTTGAGTATGACTGGCTGATGACGGCTAATAAGCCAGAAATGGCCATTCCGGTCTCCCTTGTCTTTGTCGGCACCATCTCTTTCTCATCTACTACTAGTCGCTGTGCGACTGCCTGTGAGGGTTCTAGTATAAGCCCCATAGCACAACGGAGAAAGCACGTTCCGTAACTTGACCGGTGAGCACCCATCTCTCATAATTTCCGATCACAACCGACAGGGCAACGGGCCCGTGGCTCAATAGTATACTGCAAACTCCATGACCAGAGATCGCTGACTTGAATCTCAAGTGATCCATGGCCATGGCGACGACCTCAGTGCCATCCTAACTGAATCGGTGGTTGTACTCGAGTGCGTGTACAAAGACGAGGGACTGGGGTGTCTCACTTACGGACAGCTAGTTTGTGTTCATTAATACGGCCGTCCGGGCTTCGACCCGTATGGCCGACATACACACAGGGACAATCTGCACTTGGGATGCGCCAAATGACGTTGGTCTGATCTTTGGGGATGCAGTCATTGATTCGAAGTAGTACTGCGCTTAGTAAGGATGGTTGTTTGTGGGCAACGTGAATACTAACGCATTTTTACTTTCAAATGATTACATCAGAGGTCTTCTGCATGTAAGACAGGGAGTAGAGTTTTCATGCCAAGATTTCTCCGTCGGGGGTAGGGCTGTGTTTGGTGTCTGAGGCAGTTCTTTAAAAAATTAGTTGGATATCCGTTCGATCGAAACAGCCGATACAGGTAAGCGAGCTCTTTCCAAAGGAGCTCGTCGCTGTTGTAATAACGGTAGGTCCGGTGGAACAGGGTTCGGACGCAGCTTCTTTTGTGGACTGCAGAGTTATTGCCTCAATAAATAAAGATAATCTCGGAATTTTATCCTTTCCTATAGACGCTTGTTACAGGAACATCAACTTGATTTTTCCGTAGAACCGTTTCCTTTTTTCCTTCTATGGACTCAGAATGCATACCACTTCTGTGATATCTCGTGAAATGTTAGCTGAAACTCTGAAATGGGTCTTCAATTCGGAAAGAATGCTTAAGTAAGATTGTGATATTAATTATCCTGCGGCGTAATACCAGTCACGTCATGATTTAGGCTTTCGAACGGCCTCCTTGTCGACTGCCTGCGTATACTACATTCTGTAAAAAAGTGACTTCTGACATAGTATGAATTTTTCATTGATTTTTGGTGCCCATAAAAATTCGAATATATTTTATAGAAAGCACGCATAAAAATATTCTTTCCCTTACTCATTTGGCAGCAGATTGCGTCCCCTACGAATTTTATAATTGGGAAGAGAGTATCTTTCAGTTTTCCTAAAACTGTGAAATGTCCAGTCGTAAAGCATCACATCAGCACATTTATTAATGTTGCTTATAAATTGAACATCGTAGTCCACATCCGTCACAAAATTGTATGTATCCTCTTCATAAGAGCATATAGAAATGTATGATTTTCATTGAGCAAAAAGTGTGCAGCTTGTAGTTCGGAAACCCTTAATGCAAATGTAACGGCATGTCGGGTTCAAAATTATTCGGGGATTGAGGTTTTTAAAACCGAAAGATACTCTTTCTTCAAGTATAAGATTTAAAGAAGTCGTAATTTGCTACCAAAGAAGTACGGGGAAGAATATTTTTATGCATGTTTTCTATAAAATATGTTTGAATTTGCAAGGGTGTAGAACATCAATTAGAAAGGCTCCTGCCACTTCAGCAGTCATTTTTTGACGGAATGTAGCTTACGCGGGCGATTGATAAGCTTAGTTGAGGGCCAGCATCGTGATGAGATTGGAATATCTTAACATTATGCGACATGCTGATAAATATTACAACCCTGCTGAAGGAATCTTTTGGAATTGGGAACAGATTTCAGACTTTAAATCAACATTTCATGAGATAGCATATCTACATACAGTGCTTGACCGATCTCATGAAATGTTGATCGAAATTACGGAATGCGTTTTCGAGTAGGGAGGATTACTTAGGCGGGGTTGTAATATTCATTAACATGCAGCATAACTATATAGCATTTCGGACTCGCCAGGATATCGGCTTTTGAATGCATTTCTTTTTGGCATCCTGTGGAAAGCGCACTCGAAAAACAATTACTACTGATGTAGCATGCATCTTTCCTATTGATTTTCGGTGGTCTTATAAATTCAAATATATTTTACAAAAAACATGCACAAAAGTACGCTTTCTTCTACTCCTTTGGTAGACAATCGTATTATCTTCATATTTTACACCCGAGAAAGTGTATATTTAAGTTTTGAAAAAGTTTCCTATGACATGTTTAATATCGTGCGACGTCCATGCATTCAGGACCGCACACGTACGTTTACCAATGCTCCTCATGAAACGTACAACACAGTCCGGATCCATTGCGAAATTTTATGGGCCCTGTATGATATCTTCTTAAAGGCATAGAGGAATATATGATTTTCCTTACGCCGAAAGCATGCACCTTGTAGATTGAAATCGCTAAACGCTAAGCAATGGCAGATCAGGCTCAAAATTATTTGGGAATTGGAAAAATTTCTTAAAACCTTAATATACAATTTCTTCGGGTGTAAAATATGAAGATAATGCGATTGTCTACCAAACATGTAGAAGAAAGCATACTTTTGTGCATGTTTTTTTATAAAATATATTTGAGTTTATAAGACCATTGAAAGTCAATAGGAAAAATGCATGCTGCATCAGTAGTCATTTTTTTCGAGTGTGCTTTCCGCAGGAGGCCAAAAAAGAAATGCATTCAGAAGCTGACGTCCTGGTGAGTCCGAAATGCTATAGGGTTATGCTGCATGTTAAGGAATATGACAACCCCGCCTAAGTAATCCTCCTTACTCGAAAACGCATTCTGTAATTTCGATCAACATTTCATGAGATCGGTCACGCACTGTATATGGTAAATTTGTGTCCACCGATTGGGTTACGAAACATACTTGTCCCGTCATGTCTTGGGGCTCTATCTAGAGGCTCGGCAGTGGTCGCTAGGCGGCTAGTAATATAAGCAGAATAAGATAAACCGGTCGAACAGGACAGGACAACGACCCCGTGCCCCAATGGTCAGAACGTCAGACTTCTAACTAACAGAACGTGGGTTCGAGCCTCAGGGACTACAAAATGCGAGATTGAGCACTGATGGCTAATGACGGCTCATGATCCAGAAATGACCATGTCGATCTCCTCGGTCTTTGTCGGTAATGTTATTTCGTCAATATATATATATATATCAGGTGAATAATTTCGGAAATTAATCAGTGCAGAACTTGGAGTTAAATCTCCGGGACATGACTTTTTAGGGTCAGAACCGAAATTTCAATGAACATTTGAGTCGAAGACAATCAACTACTGTGGAATAACCACGTAATGCCCATTCTACAAACAAGTAGTACTACGAGTAGTATGAATTTCATATGGTAAAGGTATTATACCGTACTCCCGACCTAGATACTTGCTAAAAGCCCATGGGCTTTTAGCAAGTATCTAGGTCGGGAGTACGGTATAATACCTTTACAAATATATATATATATATATATGTATAATAAAAGGAGAAGGCTCGTCGGAAAATCGCGGTATACTCGCGAATTTTCAAGTCGGTTACATCAACCCGTCGTCTGACGAAAGGAAAAGTGTGAGGGAGATAATCACACTGAACAGCTGGGGGGACATCGAGGTTACATCGACGAGACAGACGTTTATGTGTGGGGGTGAAGAACGTGTTTGGATAGGTGGCGGACGTTAGGGGAGGTGTTGTGGGTTTCACACCTGGTTCACTCTATGGGGGAGGTGCTGAATCCGTGATATTCTACATGGCCGAACATGGATTAGCAGTTGGTGTCATAGAGTGGGCACAAGCCGTCGAACCGTGAACGTAAGCCTTCGTAAAGAGCGTCCAAGTCGACATGGCGGTTGATGCTATTGTCATTAGAGTGCCAGGCTTCTAGAAACTCTCGCGCTTGTTTGGTGTTGGCACTAGCGATCACATCGGTCCCCTCCCAGTTGAAGCGGTGATCACACTCAAGGGTGTGCGCAAACACGAGAGGCAAGGTGTCCTGTCGGCGGATGGCCGACTTATGTTCGTTAATGCGGTTTCCAAGTCGTTGGGCATACCGGCCGACGACTTATTAATAGTTTCAAAAAATACCAGTATATGGGCGCACTGCCGTGCATTCATAATCGAAGAACGGAGTCTAAAAGCGAACAAAGACAGTGCAAATGGCTTCAATGTATCGAGAAAAGCATGTTCTTACGTTTATGGTAGAAAAATACTAGTATGGTTTAGGAACGTGAAAGAAACGGTCAAAAGTGTCAAATTTTTACTTGG